ATTTGTTAACTTCCAGTTCAAGATCAAGATGATCCAGAAATAGAAGCCTTCTCCATCGCCCTTTGATATCTGAGAAGAGATACATACTTTCTGACGAAGCGAAGAAAGGACTCTGTTAAACGTACCTTCTTTGATGGACAGTTAAATGGCCATTGTCTCTGTACGGTCTTATGAGCCACCTAAAGGAGGATAATATCAAACATGTTAGCTCTATGTAATCTCAAGTCCATGAATTATGCATGTTGTAGATACATGCGGATCACAATCAGAACAACAAATGCATAAAGCAGTCCATTTCTTCTAGAACTGTCATATAAAAAAAGCTACACTCTCCGAATCAGTTGAAGAAAGTAACTAGGGTATTAGCTGAAAATTAGGGTTTCTTGTATTTCAGTTTGCAAGTGTTTTACTAGGATCCTAGTACAACAGTTCAGCTTGAGACCAGAAATTTGATTCATGATTACCTTAACAATGGATACCCTCCATCCCTCAGTAAATGAGTATCACCAGGAAATTTATGTGCAGCTGTTCGCTACAGCTCAGAATATGAGTGCCATCGACTACACCAGTGACACCAGGGAATCACCCTTCTTCCTCAAAAGATTACTTTGTATCTTGCATCCGACTTCCTGTAAAATTTTGCTTTCAAAATAATACATCAGTCATGTTATTTTGACCCTGATTTCAAATTAAATAATGAAACAGGTGCTCTTATTTGCTTACCATGACCGTACCAGCTGGCCATTTGATGTATTACCCACAAAAGTTAATAGTTGCCTGCACGACTCTTCGGAATACCCTGTCAACACTGCTGGATGTGAGGTCGAAACGATCTGCTACAGCCCGAAGCGGTTCTTGATTGGCTATCCTCCACAGAAACGCTAGGATTTGCTTTTCTGGAGCAATGACTGGTCGTTCAGACGAATTTCTCATTGGTACTTGTCCAGTTTGCATTATTTCTCGCGAGAGAAGTTTGCAAGTTTCTCTCGTCCTGCGGAAATAATACTTGAACTCGTCGCGTAAATATCTAGGCAGAGTTTGCACAAAATAATCTTGAATGCGAGTTAAATTTCTCCGCATGAAGCAGCATGCAGCACCTAAAACAATCACTTCATCACAGTCTTCCAAATATCGCCGAGTAAATGGAAGTCATCTTGTAACTCAAAACCCAAGAATAGTGACCCTAATCCACCATTTTAAATCTTGGTGGGAAATGT